GGCGGAGCCAGTTACAGACTGTCTGCCAGGGAGCAGGCGGAGCCAGTTACAGACTGTCTGCCAGGGAGCAGGCGGAGCCAGTTACAGTCAGTCTGCCAAGGAGCAGGTGGAGCCAGTTATAGTCTGCCTGCCAGGGAGCAGGCGGAGCCTGTTAGTCATTCTGCCAGGAAGCAGGTGGAGCCAGTTAGACTGTCTGCCATGGAGCAGGCGGAGCCAATTGCAGTCAGTCTGCCAGGGAGCAGGCGGAGCCAATTACAGTCAGTCGGACAGGTAGCAGGCGGAGCCAGTTACAGTCAGTCGGTCAGGTAGCAGGCGGAGCCAGTTACAGTCAGTCGGTCAGGTAGCAGGCGGAGCCAGTTACAATCAGTCGGTCAGGTAGCAGGCGGAGCCAATTGCAGTCAGTCTGCCAGGGAGCAGGCGGAGCCAATTACAGTCAGTCGGTCAGGTAGCAGGCGGAGCCAGTTACAGTCAGTCGGTCAGGTAGCAGGCGGAGCCAGTTACAGTCGGTCAGGTAGTAGGCGGAGCCAGTTATAGTCAGTCGGTCAGGTAGCAGGCGGAGCCAGTTACAGTGAATCGGTCAGGTAGTAGGCGGAGCCAGTTACAGTCAGTCGGTCAGGTAGCAGGCGTAGCCAATTACAGTCAGTCTGCCAGGGAGCAGGCGAAGCCAGTTATAGTCAGTCTGCCAAGGAGCAGGTGGAGCCAGTTATAGTCAGTCGGTCAGGTAGCAGGCGGAGCCAGTTACAGTCAGTCGGTCAGGTGGCAGGCGGAGCCAGTTACAGTCAGTCGGTCAGGTAGCAGGCGGAGCCAGTTACAGTCAGTCTGCCAGGGAGCAGGCGGAGCCAGTTACAGACTGTCTGCCAGGGAGCAGGCGGAGCCAGTTACAGACTGTCTGCCAGGGAGCAGGCGAGTTTCAGTTACAGACTGTTCTGGCCAGGGAGCAGGCGAGCCAGTTACAGACTGTCTGCCAGGGAGCAGGCGGAGCCAGTTACAGACTGTCTGCCAGGGAGCAGGCGGAGCCAGTTACAGACGGTCTGCCAGGGAGCAGGCGGAGCCAGTTACAGTCAGTCTGCCAGGGGGCAGGCGGAGCCAGTTACAGTCATTCTGCCAGGGAGCAGGCGGAGCCAGTTACAGTCAGTCTGCCAAGGAGCAGGTGGAGCCAGTTATAGTCTGCCTGCCAGGGAGCAGGCGGAGCCTGTTAGTCATTCTGCCAGGAAGCAGGTGGAGCCAGTTAGACTGTCTGCCATGGAGCAGGCGGAGCCAATTGCAGTCAGTCTGCCAGGGAGCAGGCGGAGCCAATTACAGTCAGTCTGCCAAGGAGCAGGTGGAGCCAGTTATAGTCAGTCGGTCAGGTAGCAGGCGGAGCCAGTTACAGTCAGTCGGACAGGTAGCAGGCGGAGCCAGTTACAGTCAGTCGGTCAGGTAGCAGGCGGAGCCAGTTACAGTCAGTCGGTCAGGTAGCAGGCGGAGCCAGTTACAATCAGTCTGTCAGGTAGCAGGCGGAGCCAGTTACAGTCAGTCGGTCAGGTAGCAGGCGGAGCCAGTTACAGTCAGTCGGTCAGGTAGCAGGCGGAGCCAGTTACAGTCAGTCGGTCGGTCAGGTAGCAGGCGGAGCCAGTTACAGTCAGTCGGTCAGGTAGCAGGCGGAGCCAGTTATAGTCAGTCGGTCAGGTAGCAGGCGGAGCCAGTTACAGTCGGTCAGGTAGCAGGCGGAGCCAGTTATAGTCAGTCGGTCAGGTAGCAGGCGGAGCCAGTTACAGTCAATCGGTCAGGTAGTAGGCGGAGCCAGTTACAGTCAGTCGGTCAGGTAGCAGGCGTAGCCAATTACAGTCAGTCTGCCAGGGAGCAGGCGAAGCCAGTTATAGTCAGTCTGCCAAGGAGCAGGTGGAGCCAGTTATAGTCAGTCGGTCAGGTAGCAGGCGGAGCCAGTTACAGTCAGTCGGTCAGGTAGCAGGCGGAGCCAGTTACAGCCGGGGTCGGTCAGGTAGCAGGCGGAGCTCTGGGTTATAGCCTTCTCAGTCTGCCAGGGAGCAGGCGTGAGCCAGTTACAGACTGTCTGCTAGGGAGCAGGCGAGCCAGTTGCCAGACTGTCTGCTTGTGGGAGCAGGCTGAGCCAGTTACAGGACGGTCTGCCAGGGAGCAGGCGGAGCCAGTTACAGACTGTCTGCCAGGAGCAGGCGTTTTCAGTTACAGACTGTCTGCCAGGGAGCAGGCGGAGCCAGTTACAGACTGTCTGCCAGGGAGCAGGCGGAGCCAGTTACAGACTGTCTGCCAGGGAGCAGGCGGAGCCAGTTACAGACTGTCTGCCAGGGAGCAGGCGGAGCCAGTTACAGACTGTCTGCCAGGGAGCAGGCGGAGCCAGTTACAGACTGTCTGCCAGGGAGCAGGCGGAGCCAGTTACAGACTGTCTGCCAGGGAGCAGGCGGAGCCAGTTACAGACTGTCTGCCAGGGAGCAGGCGGAGCCAGTTACAGACGGTCTGCCAGGGAGCAGGCGGAGCCAGTTACAGACGGTCTGCCAGGGAGCTGCTGGAGCCAGTTACAGACTGGCTGCCAGGGAGCACGACATAGGGGCTGGGGGCATGCCAATCATCCCCATTTATATTCACATTATCTCCAACTATTGGAGTATAACATTCCCAGCACACAGATTCCTGATCAGGGGACACGTACCTCGATATCATGCTAAAGCTTTTTCACAAAACTAAAGGCAACCATACAAATATTTAATGTATATCAGAAGCAGTAATCATGTCTCCATTATAAAAATCCTTGGTATTTTTTTGCATGATTATTTGTGCTCACACAAGTGAGGAGCCAACACGTCACATTTTCAATGGTCAATGTCTGATTTTCCAAACAAGGGTGAAAGGCTACAACCAGGATTGAGAGGACTAAATTCGGGCAGGCGGACCATCATAGAACTACTAAATATACTGAAAGATCTGTGCTTTCATGGGCCAAGTTTTTTGAAGAATGAGTCTAGAGTTCTGCTTCCCTCACTTCGAGGACGTTTGGCACTAGACTCCAGCTGGTGCTTGGGTTTATTCTTTGGACGGCCTGTGGGTGTACGTGCCAGGCTGGGCAAGGGGATGGATTGGGCAGGGCTGGATGTGATGGAAAAGGAGTTCTGCAATTCCTGAGCAAAGTGATAATCCATGTGCTCTGGGATGTCCCACACTGGTAAGAGGAGGGCACATTTCTCACAGTTCAATAAGTCTTCCTTACTGTGAGAGAATGGAAATACCTCAGTCTGGTCAGATTCAGCCATCACTGGCTGCAAATTACATCCGGTCACCTGCTCACTACAATCCCCCTCTAGGTCTGCACCATTAGCAGGTGTACTGGGTGAAGATCGAGCACAGTAAGGGACAGGTGACTGCTGAAAGTATTCATGATGTATTTCTTGTTTAATGGGGGAATCGCAAGGATCTGTCCCACTGGCTGAAGGAAGCTGATCCCCTTGGCTGACTCTCTTTTTGTCCACTGCCCGTTGGAACAGAAGCTGGATGGCATTGGATGTTCTAACCGCACCAGGCAGCTCAGATTTGTGAGTTGGTTTGGGGCTGCTTGGTGGAACTAGTTCTTTCTGAGTGCTAGGCCCATCTCTACTAAAGAAACACACAATTCCACCAGCAGAGGAGGTGGTCCCAGTA